GCGAAGAAGTGCCGCATGTGCCTCTGCCCAAGAAGCTGTACCCTCCGCCCCCTCACCCCTCAGCTGCATCCTCTTCCTCAGCCGCCACGACCCAAGGCCTTGCCACCTCCAATTCGACCCCCGCATCCTCTACATCATCTTCATCATCCTCTGCCGCTACGCACTTCCCCTCGACCTCGTCGAGCTTCTACTCGGGACCCAACCTGGGCCGCCTCTCGCCGCGCTTCTCCCTGCCCTCGTCCTACGGGGCCTACCCCAGCCCCGTTAGCCTCCACACCAACACCACCCAGCCCCAGTTTTCCTCTCTCCTCTCCGTCATCTCCAACAAGGCCCCCACCTTCGTCGAGCACCATGGTGGCGGCGGCGGTGGTGGAGGCGGTGGGTCTAGCGGTGTGGGCACCACCGCCAGCCATCGCCCACGAGACCGCGACCGAGAGGGCAGCAGCAAGGTGGAGGCCAAGGAGGCCAGGGAGCGGGAGAAGATGGACAAGAAGGAGCGCAAGAAGTGGAACAAGCTCAAGAACCGCACGCTGGGCGACTCGACGTCGCCCACCAACAGCATCACCTCCATCGCGTCGCTGGTCACCCCCAGCGGCGTCGGCGCCAAGGGAGGCATCGAGGTGCCCAGACGGCCGGACCGGGTGCCGCCGCCGCCGCAGCAGCAGCTGGACCCGCGCGGAGGCGAGGCCGGCCTGGACGCGGCCACCATCGCGCGACGCACGACGGCTGCCGCCATCGCGGCGGCCGCGGCCTCGGTGGCCAACGGCATCGGCGGCGCAGCGCCAGGCGGCGACTCGACTTCCCACCACGGCGCCGGCTACTCCTTTTCGCCCGCGCACATGGAGGAATCCGGCGGCGCTCCTCACACCTCTCACCGGTACCACTCCTCTCGTTCCTCGTGTGCGTGTGCGGTGACACGTGTGCATGTGCGTGTGCGGTGGCGCGTGTGTCCTGCGTGCGTCATGTGCCAACAAAAGAACGATCTGCAGGTATCGGTCGCCGAGCGTGGTGAAGAGGCCGAAGGGGAAGGCCCTGCTGATCAGCCGTCTGAGCAGCAACGCGCTCGGCCTCTACGACTCGTCGTCGGCCGTCGCGGTGCCCGCCTTGTCGAGCGGCGGCGCCTCCTCGCCGTACGCGGAGCACACGCACTCCAGTCCCGACCTCGAGTCCTCCTCGTCGCCGTGGACCGACGCCGTCATCAAGCTCAACATCGGTTCGTCACGCACCAACTCTGAACTCGCCTCCTTCCACTGCTTGGCTTGGTTCGCGCTAACCATTCGCGTCGTGTTGTTGGTCTTGTCGTGTGCGGTGACGCGTGTCGTGCCGCGTGTTCGAATGTGGTGCAGGTGGCGTCAAGTATACGACGAGCAGGACGACGCTGATGCGACTGCCCAACACTTACTTTTCGGTGCTCCTCAGCGGCAAATTCCCCGCCATTCGCGACCACGAGGGCGCCTTCTTCATCGACAGGCACGTGCACCATCACCTACACACACACACACACACACCGATACAACAACACACAGCACACTCCTTGCTTATCCGCCTCTTTCTGTGCGTCGATACCGCACACAGGGATGGGCGGCTGTTCGACCCGATCCTCTCCTTCCTGCGCACCAACCACCTCAAGGTCTGTGTTCCTCCCCCCCCCTCCCGTGACTCGCGTGCGGCTGACCCTATTACTACGGCGCCCACCACCACCACGACGACGACCACCACCGCCGCCAGATTCCGGAGGGCCTCAGCCTGGAGGAGGTGCTGAGCGAGATGGAGTTCTACGGCATGACCGAGCTGAGCGAGCACATCGCCTCCTCGATGGTCTCCAGCCACCCCGGGTACAAGTACTTCATGTGCCAGCTGCCCCGGCCCGAAGCGAGCATTCTCGACGACAGGTCCGCACGCAAGGCCAAGCGCGACAAGCAAAAGAAGCAGGACAAGCAGCAGCAGCAGCAGCAGCAGCAGCAGCAGATGCAGCAACAACCGGCCGACGGCAAGAAGACGTCGGACAACCCTTCGTCTTCCTCGTCGTCATCGTCATCAGCACCTTCGGCCTCGAACGCGTCGTCGTCCGCGTCACCGTTGGTCTCCGGACCGAACGGAGGAGGCGGCGGCGGCGTCGGCGTGGCGGGGGTGAGCATCAGCGTCAGCGGACCCGGCAGCAACGGCGACATCAGCGTCGTTGGTTCGTCTGCGGTCCCGGTGGCGCCGGTATCCGCAGCGCCGGCTGCGCCCACCTCCACGCCCATCAGCGCTCCGCCGCCCAGCGGCCTCGGCGCGGGTGGCGGCAGCGGCGGCAGCGGGACGTCCGGGAGCGGGAGCGGCGCCAAGAAGGCAGCGGCAGCGGCGGCCGAGGAGCGGGGCAAGGAGAAGGACCACGACGAGGAGCTGCTTCAGCAGCAGCAGCAGCAGCAGCGCGAGGCGGCGGCGGCATCGCTGGAGGCCAGCGGCGCGTGGTTGCGGCGGGAGCACGCCCACTCCAAGGTCACCCAGCTCTGCTCCAAGTTCAACATCGTGTGCGCCGCCTACGAGGACGGCTCGATCGCCTGCTGGAAGTACGCTTCGGCCTCCCTCTCCCTTGCTTCGCATGTCGTGTTGTGCGTGCGTGCGTGCGCGTGCGCGTGTTGCGTGCGCGTGCGTTCAAGTGCGTTCCGCCTCACGGTCTGCGTGTGCGTGTGCGTGTGCGTCAAGGTATGAGAACATGGCCCTCGGGTGGCGGCTGATGTTCATGGAGTCCCAGTGCCTGCCCACCGCCGACGGCCTCATCATGTCGGCCACCATGACCACCACCGGTAACGACACACACGACACACACACACACACGACACACACTGTCTTGCTGCGATTGTAACTCGACCCCATCGACCCATCGCAGGCCAGTACACGAACCTGTACCTGGCGGTCTATTCGAAGAAGTCGGCCCTCGTGTGCGTGTGGGACCAGCTCCACCTCAAGTCCGGCGTCAAGTGGGGCGTATGTCCCCCCCCCAAATACTCTGCCTATTTATATATTATTATTCCTTTTATTCATTCATTTCTCTATGCAACGCTGCTCACGTGCGCGCATGTTGTGTGTGTGGTGTGCAGGAGCTGCAATTGGAGCTGAAGGACATCATCTCGTGCAACTTTATGGTCAACAACTGCTACCTCGTCGCCATATCCACCGACAACTCCATCTGCATATTCGACCTCCGCGAACCTCCCGAACGCAACAAGGTATCGAGATCATATCATTTTCGCATTTGCTTATTTATTTATATTAGAAAATAATTTGAAAAAATGGATATTTGCAGGCAATAAAGATAAATATCAGGTTCTAATGAAGAGTTCTTGTGGGGCAGATCATCTACATGTGCGCGCCGTCGCATGCGATCTCGCCCAGCCCGTCGTCGTTCGGTCCGTCGTCGCCGCGCGCGCCGCGGGAGCTGTCGGCGCGGTCCATGGAGCTCAGCAAGAAGGATCGCGTCATGTGCGTCGCCGTCGTCGACCCCTTTTCCTTCCTCGGTACCTCCTCCAAGAACACGCACGCGCACAACGCACGCACGACACACGCACACAACGCACGACACACGCACATGCCGCATGTGCTGACGTGTTTGGTGCGCATGTGAACTGCTGGGCAGGGTTCGACGATGGCACGATCTGCGAGCTCGCGCAGCACTTCAACTCGCACACCCACTGGGAATGGGTCGTGGCCGAGACCTGGGAGGACATCGACAAGTGCGTTTCCACCCCCCCCCCAATATGCCTGTGTGCGGCCGATAAGGCGGTGCTGACGTGTGCACGACAACACGACACACGACGCGTGCGTGTCGACTTGGGGGTTTGGGGGGGGGCGGGAATGTGTGGCATGCAGGGAGGTGATCACGTGCCTGAGCTGCGTGGTGTTCACCGACCGCCACGGCTCCAACGTGCTCCTCACCTACGGAACCGAGCAGGGCAGCGTGCGGCTCTGCTCTAAAGTCGTCAACACCCGCAACTTCAAGCTCATCTTCAGGTGCCGCACGCACGCACGCACGCACACACACACACACGACACACGACACACACACACGACACACACGCCAAGCATGCAGTGTGCTGACACCACGCGTACGACAGTGCGAAGGGGCACCACGACCAGCCGATCAACCAGGTGATGATCAGCGAGTCGCACAAGTCCGGTGGCGGCCTCATCTTCTCGTCGCTCTCGGCCGGGGGCACGATCAAGGTGTGGCGGTACCTCTACGTCGACCTGCCCCAGCCCCACGTCTCCTGCATCGCCTGCTACAACAGCGGCGGCAGCATCGACCACTTCATCTACAACAGCGGTGCGCGCCTCGAGCTTGTGCTCTCTCGCCAGCGCCCCATCATATTGACCGTGTGTGTGTGTCGTGTGTGTCGTGTGTGTCGTGTGTGTCGTGTGTGGTCACCACAGGCCTCATGCAGGACATGCTGACGCAGATGGTGTTCCTGGAGCGGAACCTGGAGAACATCGATGGGAAGGAGATCGAGGGCCGCGTGGAGAGCCACCTGTGTGTCATCACCAACGCCGAGAACGCCCTCACCATCTACGACGACTACTACTGCGTGTGCAGCATCAAACCTGTCGATGGGTACACACAGCATACGACACGACACGACACGACACGACACGACACGACACGACACGGTACGGCATGAGTCTGAGTGCGTCTCATGGTTAAATAGGTCGAGCGTGACATCGTGTTGTGTGGTGTCGTACGACGACCTGGCGGCACCCAAGCCCTACGTGCGCAACCAGTTCCTCACGGGCCACGACAACGGGACGCTGCAGGTGTGGGACCTCGACCTGGCCTTCCACCACAACAAGCTCTCTTCGCATCCCTACCACCACCCCTACTCCTTCTACCCGTTCTACTACGCCTTCCACCACTCCCACGGCGTCTCCCACCCCATCAAGACCACCTTCAAGTGACACCCACTCATGAACCTTGCGAACAACAAAGAAGAAGAACAAGCAGCGTGAAACTGAGCCATAGCTATTACTTTAAAAGCAACGCCTGCTGTGGCAGTATTGAGAAAGAAATCAGGATAATGTACAGGAGAGGCAACTGGTGGCGGCAACGGCGACTTGGGGGTCGTCGCGCCCCAGCAGCGGACTCCGCTTGGTGGCGCCCTCGCGCGGTGATCGTGTCCCACTGGAGCCACCGCTCCCACGGAGGTGGGCGTGGCTGCCTTCCCGCGGCGACGCGTCTCTGTGTTCCCGATCCCACACCCAGTCCTTCCGCGCCGCGCCGCCGTCCACTCCCGTCGTCGCACTCGCAGCAGGGGCTGTTGGCCGCGGCAGCACCGTCGCGCGCCGCACGTTGCCGCCAGCTGCCGCCGCCGCCGCAGAAACGCTGCTGTGGTCGTGGTGGCCGCCACCGCTTTCACCCTTCAGCTCGTCGTCGTCGATCTTCTCCTTGCCCTTCTCCCTCCGCCTCTGCTCTCGTGTCTGAGTCGTGGTGGTCGTGGTAGTCGTGGTCGCCGTAGCCGTCGGCGCCTCGTGGCGACTTTGTCGATGCCCGGCGAGCTTGTCATCGATGGTGGCGGTGGCCGCCTGCTCGGTGGTCGTGGTCCAGGGCTCGTCGATCCCCTTCGTAGTGTTGCTGTTGGTGGTGGTGGTGGTGTGGTTGTGGAGGGCGGCCGGGTCCACGTGATGGTGAGGCACGGCCACGATCCCCACGTGCACTACCGGCTGCGGCTCCGGCAGCGGCTGCGGTGGTTGCCCGCTTGGTCCAGCGGTGACACTCGCGAGCCCGTCGACGGGCGTCGGTGGCGACCTCCTGCCCTCCGTGTTGGTCGTTTCGTCGCTCTCCTCGGACCGCGGTTGTTGCAATTCTGGCTGTTGTGGTTGTTGGTGGTGTTCCGGCGTAACGCTGCTCGTGCTCTTCGCCTCCTCCTCGTCGTCGTCCTCTTGCTCGTGCTCCGCGGGGGCCTCTGCGCAGCTGCCCGGTGACGTCGATGCTTGCTCCGCCTGCGCCTCTCCTCCATTTGTGTTCGCCGGCTCCACGTCCACGCTGGTGCCGGGCCGCAGCTCACCGTCCTGCGATTCGTCGGCCGTCCCCGTCTCCGTCTCGGGATTTGGCTGCGGCGCCGGCAGCGGCGGCGGTGGGTCGTGGTCGTGCGGGTCGGCGTTTTCGTCATCGTCGTCGTCCGTGCTCGTGCTACGCTCCACCTCTCCTCCGTCTCTCGGTTCTTCTTTCACTTCTTCTTCTTCTTCTTCTTCTTTTGCTGCTCCTCTGTCGCTGGCTCGCTCGCTGTCTTCGGTACGCTGGACGGCCTTGAGGGCGTGGCCGATGAAGCGCTTCACCTGGCTCTCGCTCAGCGCGGGCAGGGGCACGTCGCCGCTGCCGCTTTCGAACGGGATGAAGAAGATCTTCCCGCCATCGGCCACCCCGTCCTCCTCGAACTCGGGCACGAGCATCACTCTGTCATCCTCGTCGTCGTCATAGTCGTCCATGCTCCCCTCTCGTCGCAGCCACTGGACGCCCCAGTCGCCGCTCACCCGGATCTGCGGCACGTCATCGCTCGCGGCGTGCAGCGAACCGCCGTTGCTGCCGTTGTTCTGGTTGTTGCTGTTGAGGTGGTTGGCCAGCTCGTTCTTCTCGCTCGCGCTCCGCGTACGCCGCACGACACGCGCGGCGTCGACACGGTCGTGGTCGACCCCGCTCTTGACCCGCTCGATGTGTCCCCCTTGTTGGTGCTGGTGCTGGGGATGGTGATGATGATGATGATGGTGGTGGTTTTCGCTGCCGGGCGCTCCCTTGAGGCGCCTCCCCTCGATGGTGGCCTTGAGCGTCGACATCATCGTCTCCCGCGCACGCAGCTCGCTCTCCGCCTCCTCCTCGCTCCCGGCCGATCGGTCATCGCTGCTTCCGGCCTACGTGATCGAGAGTCGGGTCAGCACCCAAGACACACCACGCGCACACACCACGCGCACACACCACGCGCACACACCACGCGCACACACCACACGCGCGCGCGCGCGCGCATACACACACACACACACACACACACACAAGAGAGAGAGAGAGAGAGGTACGGCGTGTGTGCCGTGGGCGCGCTGCTTTTGCTCCCACTTGCGCCACTTGGCCATGTGGGCGTCGTCGCTCTGCTGCATCGTGATGGCGCCGCCTCGCGGGCTGTCGCCCGGGCGCAGCAGTCCCGTCGGGCTCTCCCTCGTGGCCGACAGGCGCAGCAGTATGCCCTCCCCACCCGCCTTGTACTGCAGCGGCTGCACGTTAGGGGGACGGCCCATCACCACCGCACGCGCATGAGGGGGGAGGGGGGAGGCATACAGAGTGGCGAGGGGTGCCCTCGTCGTCGTCTTCCTCTTCGTAGTAGTCCTCTTCATCTGTCTCCTCGTCGGTGCCCAGATCATCGTCATCATCGCTTCGTTCCCACTCCTCCTCGTCGCCATCGTCGTCCTCCTCGGCAAAGTCCTCATCGCCGAATCGAAATTCGCCTCTGAATTCGTCGTCGCTCATGAAATTGCATTCGCTGGTGGTGGGCGAAGGGATGATGTCCCGCTGGATCATGAAATGGGACTGAGCATCCTCGCTCCCGCTCCATTCGCTGTCGCCCCCTGGCCCGCTGGGTCGCCGCAGCCCTACGAAGCTCAGAGGCGGCAGACCGCCGGCAGATGATGAAGGGGTGAGGCTGTTTGATGTGGGCAGGGAGGGCTCACGTCGGTAGATCTGCTTGTTCCCCAGGTCGCGGCTGGCTCGACGCATCTTGCGCCGTTCGCGTTCCTCCTCCCTCTGCTTCCTTCGTATTCGCTTCTGCTGCTTGCGCAGCTCGAGCTCCACCACTTTCATCAGCTGGTAGTTGTCCATCTCCCTCGTCTTCTTCTTCTTTTGCTGCTACTTCAATCTCGATTTTTAAACGAATCCGACCGTTACGAAGATCGAGTAGTGGCAGAATCGGGTAATGGAGAACGGCTGGCTCGAAGCGATGGATGAGAAGAGGTCCTCGAGAAAAAGAAATAGAGAAGCCTTGGAATGGGTGGAGAGCTGGAGGTGAGAATGAAAGACAGAGAGATTATTCCAGCGATGAATGGTCGGGCAGCTTTCTCTATTCGTCACAGGCGGCAGCTCTCATGGGGGCAGGCAGAGCTGGCGTGTGCAGAGGGGGTCAGCAATCTTTCTACGACGTGGGGTAGTAGGCTGCTCGTTGCGGCCTTTGGGTCTTCGTCTTCGCTTTCCGTGTGCCGGCAGGCTCAGGAATGAAACGCGAATTTGTCGACTCCACAATCAAACCAAGAAGCCTAGAACAAGAAGGTGTGCTGCTGGCCGTACCAAGAAGAAGGCAAGTCGTTAAATAAAAAGAGTCTTATTTGGTAAGAGGAGTCAGGGACCGATGTGTGTTGAGGCAAGGCTTTGGAAGATGACCATGAGAGCTGGCTGGTCCGTTCCTTTTCTTAATAGGTGTCGAACTTCCTGACGTCGGACTCGTCGATGAGATCCCTGTCCTTGGGAATCGACTCGAAGCTCTTCTCCTGCAATAGACCCAATAACGCGAGGGCGATGGAGAGAGAGAATGGTCAGGTGCTGCTTCTCCATTCTTCGCGACCACTTGCCTTGGCTGCTGCGGCAGTGAATGGAGCGCCACGAGGCGACAAAAGCCGGCGGCGCAGAGCAAAGGTGAGGAAAGGAAGACGCGCGCGTACCATCTTCTCGCCCATCAGGGTGAGCTCACGCACTCGGTCCTCGACCTCCTTTTCCGTCGCGTTGTGCAGGTCGAACCCCCGCTCCTCGCCCCAGTCTGAGCACAAGGCGGGCCCGAATGACCAAGTCAGCACCGCCCTCAAACAACAACAACAACAACAGGAGCAAATAGACTCTATTGTTTCAGGATGCGCAGCAGATCTTGCCTCGCTTTGATTGCCAGCGAATGGGCTGAATGAATCGGGAGCGGAAATTTTGAGCAGAGAAGGAGTACCGTAGCGAGCGTAGACCTTGGGCGGGGCTTGTTCGCCAGTTCGCATAAGAATGGGGAGCCGCGGGTTGAGCTTCTTCAACTCAGCATAGTTGCTGTCCAGGAAAGACCTACGCGGCGAAGATTAATGCCAATTGCGGCGGCGGCGGGGGGGAGTAAATGCGCCAGGGGTGTTGGGCGGGTGGTACCGCACGCCTCCACTGTTGGGTGAGGTAGTGCACATGATGAAGCGGAGCTCCTGCATGTTAGTCGAAAGCCTCGCCCTCCACGACATTCTTGCGTCTATCAATCAACTCTCAAAAATGCCGAGCAAAAAAATAAAAATGCAAAATAAATTGTAAATCCGGAAGAGTCAGCAAAGGCGGTAAAAACCGGGCACGGCCTTCATTAATAGGCAATAAACAAAACTCGTCTCCCACAACAACACGAGGCGCACCGCGGGAGGATAGCAGCGGGGGCGAGGGCCGAAAACAAAGAACTCTGCTCACGCTGTGCGACGTGGGCGTAATAGAGAAAAGCAGAAAGGGCCGTCGAAGTGCTGCACCGTGCAAGCGAACCATTACTCGCTTCAGTGGTTGGTGTGTGCCTTCGGCAACTCCTCTCATCCCTCCGGATTCCCTCATCTCCTCCTAGCCCCCCCCCCGGCCATTCTCGTCCCTTTCATCTCGCATCTTCGAATTTTACGTAAAATCAAGAGCTCCTTCGCGAACCAAGAAGAGATGTGGCGCCAAAAGCAGCAACAGGCGATCGCGGCCAAGAAGATCCAGACAGTATGGCGCATGCACCATGCCCAACGCAAGTATAAAGAGAAACGTACAACCCCCCCCTCTCTCCCTCACTCTCCTCCTCTCGCGCCAGTCGCCTTTCATTTATGCACCCCCCCCCCGCAAGGCCGATTGTTCTCTTTCGCTTTCTTTCTCTTTGGCCTTCGCTATCGTTCTTTTCTTTGGGTCTCACGGGTTTGGTTCGCGTTCTGCAGTGAAGATGCACAGCTATCGCACCCATGTGGCGGAGGAGATTCTGTCCACGGAACGCCTCTACGTCAACCAGCTCTTTGAACTCGTCCACGTACCTCTCCCTCCTCTCAGCCTCTCTTTCTTCCCCCCCCCATCTCTTTCTTCTCCACGGCGCGCCTTGTGTTCATTGGTCTCTTCCTCCCCTCCCCTCCACGTTGGTTGGTTGTGGTGGTTGTGGTCGACAGCACTTTTTGCATCCGCTGAGGGACGCCAACGCGAGCGGGAAGCCCATCTTGTCGGACGCCGAGGTATGTGCCCTTCCTGGCCGCCACTTCGGGCGACGGCGGCAGTTTGATAACGCGCGCGTGTCGTGTCGTTGGTCGGGTCGTGTGGCCTGTTTGTTCGTCGTGTCGTGGGTGCCGCAGATCCGTCAAATATTCTCGACCGTGGAGATCATTCTGGCCACCAACAAGGACCTCCTCGAAGCTCCCCTCGTCAAGCGCGTCGAGCAGCAGTGGTTCGTTTCGCTGCACACGCACACGCACGCGCGACACACGCCCCAATGTCAATGCGTCCACGTGGAACATGCGGTTGGCTGACCCGTACGGCGTGGGTGGGTGGGTGTGCAGGCATCCAAACCAAATGATCGGCGACATCTTCGTGAGGATGGCCGGCATTCTCAAGATCTACACCGAATACATCCAGAACTTCAACGAAGCCCTCAGCCAAATCCAGGTACACATCAGAGAAATATATATATATTGCTTTTTTATAAAATCTATTTCTCTGTCCATGAGAGTTGTGCCGAACAATAGGCCAATGTATTCGCCAATCAATTGATGTGCTCATACGCCTGTGTGTGTGTCGAGTGCAGGAGTGCAAGAAGTCGATCATCTTCCTGGAGTTCTGCAACCAGGCCTTCCCCAAGTTCTCCTTCTCCGTCGTCGATCTGCCCTCGCTCCTCATCACCCCCATCCAGCGCATCCCCCGCTACCAGCTCCTCCTCAAGGACCTCCTCAAGCACACCTGGCCGGTACCCGCCCACACATGACACACAACACGACACGCACCTGCGTCTCTTACACTCTACTCGTGTCGTGCGTCGTGTGTCGTGTGTCGTGTGTCGTGTGTCGTGGTGTAGGACCACCCGGACTACGGGAACCTGACCAAGGCGCTGGGGCTGATCACGGACACGGCCAACTATGTAAATCAGAAGAAGATGGAGGCCGAGAACATCCAGAAGTGCATGGCCATCCAGGCCACCCTCTCCGGCAAGAACCTCGAGGTCACTCACCCCCTCCCCCATTACTCCCCTCCTGCTCGCCCACCTTGTCCCCGTCTCCCAATTCCGATTGGCTCTCTTCCACTATGCGCGGCTGACACTGAATTCCAATCATTCCATCGACGATGGTGGATGGTGGTGATGATGATGCAGAGTTTGATCGATCCGCACAGACGGTTCGTGCGGGAGGGGGCGCTCAAGGAGGTCAACGACAAGGGCAAGCTCAAGCAGAAATGGTATGATGGTTTGACGTGCCTTGACATAGGCCCTGGCTCTTTCCCATCCTGCTGGCGTGTGGCTATATGAGTGGTTGGCGTATATTGACATATATATGTGTCGTTGGGGGCTGGCTGGCATATGGTTAGGTATATCCTGTTCAACGACATCCTCGTGCACTGCGAGATGTCAAAGACGATGACCAAGTCGCTGACCAACAAGGACAAGAGCAAGCGAGGGACGATGAACCTCAAGGACCTCACCCAGCAGAAGCTCTTCAAGTACAAGGGTGCGCACCGCCTCCCTCCCCCCTCCCGGATCTCTCTTTGGCCGAAGCGACTCAGTCGTGTTCGCCATTGGTTGTCGCGAATGAGTTGACGTTGGCTGACCTTCGGTGGAATGTGTGGCATGGTGCAGGCAAGCTGCTGCTGGAGAAGGCGTCGATTGTAAATTTAGGGGACGAGGGGCTCAAGACCAACGGGTTCGAGGTGGTGACCTCGAGGGAGTCCATGTGGCTGTGCGCCCACGCCAAGGAGGAGAAGGACGAGTGGATGAAGGACCTCCTCGACTGCATCAAGGAGACCAAGGACAAGCTCTCCGCCCACGACGGTACCACCCACACATTCCACTGCATTCCACCACGCATGTGGTGAAGAAGAAATGTCACACACACACACACACACAACTCACGCGCATGGTGCGTGGTGCGTGTGCTTGTGTGCGCACACAGAGCAAGTGACGCGCATCGCCAAGCAGCGGGCGTCGCTCACCAAGTCGCTGCTGAGCGAGCAGCTCATGTACCGCACGCGCAGCTCCTCCACCGTCTCTGACGACGACCTCGCCCGGACCTTCTCCTCTGACACCGTCGAGCAACAGCTCCGGTACGCGCCGTTTCGTTCTTTTTCGCCGTTTCGTTCTTCGTCTTTATTCGTCCGGTCTAAGGTGTTAATCGATTTATTTATTTATTTGCGTAGAAACCTGCTCGAGGAGGGCGACGGGGAGGACGTGGCGGCCCACTCGTCGACGGCGGCGGCGGGGGCCAAGCCCGAGAAGCGGAGCCTGCGAGACTTCAAGAAGAAGGTGGCCACGGGGTCGCGCCACCAGTCGCTCACCGTGGGCGCCCTCTCGATCGAGGCCCTGCGCGAGCAGCACGCGGCTGAGTCCGCCGAACAACACGAGAACGGCCTGGCCACGCCCGACAGTCCCAACACCTCGTCGGGCGAGAAGCGCACGCGCCGGTTCGTGGGCCTCAAGCGCAACAGCCTCAAGCACGGCGTGGGCGGGACCAGCAACAACGGCAGCGGCAATGGCACCAACGGCAGCACGATCGGCGGCAGCGCGTCGAGGGACGACCTGAGCCCGGTGTCGTCGCCGTCGCCGCAGATGCGACGGTTCGCCTCCAAGAAGAACGACCTCATCGCCCAGAAGGAGAAGGAGCTCGCCGAGTCGGCCGCGGCGGGCTCCGCCGGCGACGAGCCTCGCACCCGACGATTCGCTGGCATGCGACGCGACACCTGGAGCGGCGACCGGTACGCCTTCGATCACGAGTTGTCGTCTTTGCGCACACGACACACACACACACACCGTACATTTCTGAGATTCCTATGTCCGTAACAGGCCCACACTCGGAGCTGGCGGCGATTCGTCGGGCGAGCTGGACACGGTGCCGGCGGTGCCGTGCGGCATTTCGCCTGTGGCGTCGCCGTCGGCCTCGCCAGCGCCGGCCAAGGTGCGCAAGTTCGCGAGCCTCAAGCGCGAGAACTACAAGGACCTTTAGTCTGTCTTCTTGCGAAGAAGAAGCCCCACGAGCCGTCTCTCCTTCGATTGATTGCTATCCGCTCCCCACGCCCTGTGTGGTGTGGTGTTGTTGTTGTTGTATTCCCCCGCCTCTGCTGGCCAGCAGTTACCACCCAAACCAGTTTTGATCACCACCAGCGGCACACTTACCGCCAATAAAGGTCGGCCAGCACATTGTGGTCAGCATCAGGTACTCCTTGCGCCCTCTGATGACCTACGCTGCAAACCAGGTGGCGCAGAGGCAAACCTTATCTTTCAAGACAGTCCTCTAGCCAACTCAACACAGGTCTTGTGGCTCAACAAGGCACAAGAAGTGAGCCCCAACTCGGTATGATGTCATTTGTGACTGTTGACCGTTTGGGCCATTAGTTTATGCGAACGAACCGGCGCGTGCTCCGCATTCTGCGGGAAGCCAGGCAACAAGGGACCTTGGCCTACGCGAAAGAGCGATCTTCATCCAGCACCACACTCACAACCATCTCATAAACCATGGCCGACATCACCGAGGAGCAGAGAATCGAGATCAAGGCTGCCTTCGATCTCTTCGACACCGGTACCTGGCCTACTGTCCCTCTTTTCTGCGGGCCTGCGCCTCCCCCCCCGCTCTTGATCATCTTTCCTCGCTGCCCTTGTCGTGCCATTTGTACCACTACATGCTCCCACTATCAACGCCATCACTCATGGAATGTTGATTGTGTCAGATGGCAACGGCAGCATCAGCGCTACCGAGCTCGCCTCCATCCTGAAGAAGATGGGTACCGAGGCTTCTGAGTCCGAGCTCAAGGTAAGCCTCTTCTTGCCTCTGCCCTACTTGTAGTCTTCGCTCGACGGTTGTTGACTGTGAACCCCTCCCGTAAAGGACATGATCCACGAAATCGACGTGGATGGAGACGGTGAGATCCAATTCGAGGAGTTCCTTCTCTTGTTCTCGCGTCACAAGAAGAACCAGCTGCCCGAGGATGAGGAGCTGAGGCAGGCCTTCAAGGTCTTCGACGCTGATGGCAATGGCACCATCTCCAAAGTCGAGCTCAAGCGCGTCATGGATATGCTGGGCGAGAAGCTCAACGACGCCCAAATCGACGAAATGATGAAGGAAGCTGACACCAACGGCGACGGCGAGATCGACTTTGGCGAGTTCAAGAAGATGATGGCCAGCAAGGGCCTCTAAAGCCCCCCCCCCTTCTTCCCTCCTCTACCAGTCTCTGATAAAGGGTGTACGAAACGGTGCTACGCGAACGACACAAGTGACGGTCGTGGTGGGTGTGGGCGGCGTTGGTGAAGCTGTTGTATTGGTCGTTCATGTGGTGGTGGCCAAGGTTGGAAAAAGGGGTGTTCGGTTGGGGTTCTCTTCTCTCTTGGTGATACACCGGCGGCAGGAGGCGCGGCGCCAGTCATGACGTCGCCGTTGGCGTCATCTCTTTCACTGGCACACGGTGACGGCCTCCCCCGTGACGGCCTGGCTCGTGTTCATCTCTGAGAGAGAGAGAGAGCGGGCGCGTGAGCAGACCATCGGCTATCAGGTGGTTGGGGCACGAGCGTGTGTGTTGTGTTGTGTGTGTGTGTGTGTGGGTGTGTGTGCAAGGGGGAAGGTGTTCATCGGTACCGACGCCGCGGTTGGGGATGTAGGGCAGCTGGCGGGGCACCATGGTGATGCAGTCGGGGATGGGGCACACGGAAGCGCAGAGGGTGCAGCCGGTGCAGTCGTCGGTGACGGTGGGGATGTGGGTCTGGGCGTCGAACTTGATGGCCTGGTAGCCGCTGTCGTTGCAGGTCATGTAGCACTTGCCGCAGTTGATGCACTTGTCCTCGTCGACGAGAGCCACCACCTGCTGCTTGTTGTCCAGGTCGTTGTAGCACCCGATGCGCGGGAGGGCCGTGCCGAGCACCTCGCCCAGGGTGAAGACCTTGGCGGGCGCCGGGGCGGGGGCGGGCTTGGGGGCGGGGCTCTGGAGGTCCTTGGCCAGCCACACGGACTTGCGCAGGGCCTTGTTCTTGTCCTCGTAGGGGCCAAAGTGCGGCAGGCCCGTGCCCTGCTTGGCGCGCACGGCGGCCGGGTCGACGCGCACGGCGGGCGACTGGTACTCCCACTCGGCGTGGTCCTCGCGCGACTTGAGGTACAGGGCGGCCTTGAGGCCCGTGATGTAGTCCTGCACCACCGTGAAGTCCTGGTTCTGGATCGACGAACAGATCTGCACCACCGACGCGCCGCACTGCAGGAACTGCAGCGCCACCTCGGCTGAGTCAATGCCGCCCGTGGCGAGGATCGGGTAGTTGGGCAGATAGTTGCCGATGGCCGACACGGCGCGCAGGGCCACCGGCCGCGTCGCGTTACCGGACACGCCGCCGTAGGTGGTCTTCTTCTCCTTGCCGATCGACGGCCACGCGCCGCCGTCCGACGTCTTGATGCCCATCAGGCCCGAGATCGTGTTGATCGCCGTCACGCCCGTCGCGCCTGCACCGCACCGTTTCTCGAGGTCAGCACGCACGCAGGCCCACAGCACACCAACACACGCGAGACACGCCACACGACACACGCGAGTTGGTGGTGGTGGTGGTGGGGGCAGCAGCACGCACCGCCCTCCTTGGCCGCGGTGGCGATCTCGCGGATGTCGGTGACGTTGGGGGTGAGCTTGGCGAAGAAGGGCACGTCCTTGGCCACCTCCTTGACCCATCGGCAGATGTCCCGCACGAGCGCCGGCTGTCCGAGAAAGAAGAGAATAAGATTAGGAAAAATGGAAGAGAAATCGCGTTGAAGGGGGGAAGGCAGGGGGGTGCGAGTACGTTCTGGCCGCAGGCGAGACCCATGCCGCGCTCGCCCATGCCGTGCGGGCACGAGAGGTTGAGCTCGAGGGCGTCGGCGCCCGAGGCCACGGCCTTCTTGGTCAGCTCCTGCCAGTCATCCTTGTTGAACGCGCACATGATCGATGCTGCAGCATCACCAACGCACGACGACGTTAGCAACAACGGGCCGTGTGTCGTGTGTGTGTGTGTGTGTGTGTGTGGTGTGCAAAACAAAATAATTACCGATGACGACGCGGTCGGGGAAGTCCTGCTTGAGCTCGGTGATGGCGGTGAGCCAGTAGGCCTCGGTCTTCTCGGAGATGAGCTCGATGTTGAGGAAGGCGCCCTGGTTGGGGCCGAAGCGGTGTCCGCTGGTGGTGCCGCGCACGATGCGCGGGGAGATGTTGGTGACGAGGTCCTTGACCAGCGAGAAGGTCTTGGTCACGGCGAAGCCCCAGCCGGCCTCGAACGCGCGGCGGATCATGTCGCCCGACGTGCACGGCGTGGCCGACGCGAGGCCAAACGGGTTGGGGAAGCGGATGCCGGCGACGTCGATCGAGATGTCGACCTCGTCGATGGGCGTGTAGAACTGCGGTAGCTGGGGCTCCTCGGGCACGCTCAGCCCGTGCAGGGACTGCACGTACTTGTGCATGTACCACGACGCCGTCTTGCCGTCGTTGGTCGCCTCCACCGACGTGCCGTTGCCCACCATGTCACCACCGCAGAACAGCCACGGCGCCTGGAGTGTGATCGGCCAATCATCAAACCACGATCAGTGCCACGTCAGCATAAACACTTGGAAAACAATTTTGTGGAATTCCATTGAGCAAGGAGGAGGCGATGTGTGCGTACGTGGGTGGCCTGCATGGTGTTGGTGTCGATCTCGGCGGTGCCCCACTTGCCGAAGGTGAGGGGCGCGAGGGCCTTGCGGAGGTCGGGGTCGATGCAGGAGCCGAAGGCCGAGATCACGTAGTCGCACTTGAGGCGGATGAACTGGTCCTCGTCGATGCGGTACTCGCCGTCGTCGCCCTTCTCCATCTTGTAGAGCTCGATGGCGACGATGCGACCCTCCTTGACCACCACCTGCTTGGGCTGCATGTAGGGCAGGAACTCGCAGCGCTCCTCCTTGGCCAGCTCGCTCTCCTCGGGCACCGCACGCATGTCGGGGATGCCGCGCCTGAAGGCCACGATCACCCGATTGGCTCCGCACCGGAACGACGACGTCGCGCAGTCGAACGCCGTGTCACCCGCGCCCAACACCACTGTGTGTGCGCGTGTGTTGTGTGTGTGTGTTGTGTGTGTGTGTGTGTGTTCCACACCAACCAAACCAACCGAGAGATCAGCACTAGACCACTGGATAGATGATTGGTTGTGGTGGCGGGGTGATGATCGCGTACCGACGCGGCCGTGGAGGTCGGGCAGGTCGGACTTGCAGGAGCACATGCCGGGCTTGCTGCCGGCGCTCACGCGCGGGAGGAAGTCCTTGGAGGTGAAGTAGCCCTCCTTCTCGCCCACGCCGTCAAACACCTCCACCTTCTTGGGCTGTTTGTTTGGGTTGCACAATCGGGGCGTGAGCCGCCGAGCTCGGCAACAAAAAGGCAAAGGAAGGAAGGAAAGAAGAAAGAAAAAGGGGGCAAAAAGGAAAGCGGTGCACGTACAGCGGGGAGGCCGATGCCGAGGAAGATGGCCTCGTGGCCGTCCTTCTGGAGGGAGTCGAAGGTGATGTCCTTGCCGAAGGTGGTGTTGTACTGGATGCGCACGCCGAGGTCCTGGAGCAGGCTCAGCTCGAACTGGACGACGTCGTAGGGGAGGCGGAACTGGGGGATCTCCGTGCTGGAGAGGCCGCCGGGGAAGGCCTCCTTCTCGAAGATGGTGAGGTTGGTGTAGCCCATGCGCGCCAGGAACGTGGCCGCGCTGATGGTGGCCGGGCCGCAGCCGATGAAGGCGATCTTGGTGCGGTAGCTCTCCGGCAGGGCGTCGACGTCGAGGCCCGGCGCGCGGATCTGGTGGATGTTCATCTTCTTGAACATCTCGACGGCGAACTGCTGCAGGCCGCCGATGTTGATGGCGCCCTCCTCGGTGCCGGCGAGGTTGCACCCGCCCACGCACAGGTCCGACGTGGGGCACACCATGCCGCACGTCAACCCCACCGGGTTGTCCGACAGAATCTGCTTCGCTGCTCCGTAGTAGTTCTAGGCCAGCCAGGCAGGGAGGAGAGAGAAGAGAGCAAAGAAACACGACACCACGACACGACACGACACGACACGACACGGACCACACACGCGACCGGTGAGCACAGGCGGGGAGGAGAGGCAAGTCGGCGTGGCAGAGGATGACAGAAGAAAGAAAGCTCCGGAGCCAAAATTAATTATGTCCCACTCCGGTCAGACATGAAACGTGAAACACACGCGCACGAGCCGTACGCCCGGCAAGGGTTTGACCACGCCGGCAAACGCACAAAACAAACAACAACAACGACGACGGAACAGATAAAGAACAGGCCGGTACCTTGGTGGAGATGGACGAGATGAAGGCCTTGACGTCGAGCTGGGTCGGGCAGCTCTTCTGGCAGGGCGCGTCGGCGCACTTGAGGCACCGGTCGGCCTCCCACAAGGCGCCGCGCTCGGACAGAGTGGTGTGCTTGATGTCGCTAAAATCTTTCTTCAAATCGCAGCCCTGGAAAAACAAACAAACAAAAACGAGGGTTAATATCGCTGGTATTGCTGCACCAAACAACAAATAAATCTTTGTGCAGGTGGTAGGCAGCTTTATGCAGAAACGTCGCACAGCGACCACCGGTGCGTTCAAAGGCGTTTGATTGCGGAAGGTCGAACGTACCGACTGGCAGCCCTTGTTGCGCTTCCAATGCTCCTTGGTCTTGGTGGTGACGGCCGTCGGCTTCAAGCTCGCAAAAGGCTTCACCTTGGGGTGCAGAGCCAGAATCTAGAGTTGCGGAGAGAACAAAAATCAAAACGAGATTAATAATTGTCGATGCAAACATGGACCGTCCCGAGTAGTTGCGTCGCCAGGTGAAGGGTTACCTCGATGTCCTTGACGGCGGACACCTTCTTGGTTTCGGTGGGCACTGGCGACTCCATTATGCAGGTAGAGTATCAAAACAAAAGAAGTACAATAATAATTATAAGGGGGAGAAGGATGCAAATGGGTTGCGCGCGAAGGTGTTGACTGGAGTAAAGTTGTCGCGCTTTCCCCTTTTTGTAGGGTGATGACGAGCTGCCAGCCAACCCGCAACCGATTTGCAGGGATGAAAATGGGGCCGGAAATGTCTGGTATTCAAGTGCATTTCACCGTGCTATTTTCCTTGTTGCTTTTCCTGTCTTGCTTTGTTTGCAAGCCCAGCAAAAGATGGAGCGTCCTCCCGGGTCCGGCTATCGCGATCGTTCGAGGGATCACCGAGACTCCCGCGGCCCTCCTCGTAGAAGCAGTGCACCCACCGGCGGCGGTGGGGGCGGGCGCGGTTTCTACAGCGGCGACAGGCGCGGGCCGCCTCATCACGGCGGAGGCGGCTATCAATCGCCCTACGGGGGCGGGGGGCGCGACTCTGGCCGCCGAGGTGATCACCAGGGAGGCGGTCGCACCAGCAAACGGCCGCGTTACGACGACAAGGACGACGTGGAGAGCCGCCTCACCGCCCTCATCGTGCGCATCGGCGACAAGAGCGCCTCGCCCCTTGAGGCCAATCTTCAGGGCCTGGCCGAAGCGCTCGAAGGCGATCTTGCTCATCATGGGCCGCAAATCACCAGCATGCTCTTTAGCTGGTTCGCACCTCTCCTCCGCTTACTCTACGTCGGCTGCTGCCATGTTTTTTTGTTTTTTGTTCTTGTTTTTTTTTGGCACGTTGGCCACTGTGCACACTGGTGGGCAATGACTGATGGCTCTGTATGAATGCGGTGCGTTGGGCGGAGGGCAGCATTACGCAGCTGCCGGTGAAGACGCCGGTGTACGGCACGCTGGTGGGCCTCATCAACGCCAAGAACGCCGACTTTGGCCGTGAGGTGGTGAGCAAGGTGGGCGAGCGGCTGCAGCAGGCGCTGCACGATCGCAGCGCGCTCGACGTGAAGCTTCTCACCCGCTTCCTGGCCGAGCTCGTCAATGCGCACGTGCTGCCCGCCGCCGATCTCGTCGCCCTGTTCGACCTCCTCCTCGCCTCGGCGGCGGAGCTCGACGACTCGCTGCAGCACAGCGACCTCGAGCACTACGCCTACGTGGTGCTCATCACCATCCCCTTCGTCGCCGCCACCCTGCTCCGCGACCTCCCCGACGAACTCGACCGCCTCCTGCGCACCCTACAGCGCTACGTCGACGCCCACAAGTGCCCCATCAACCCCCTCACCCTCGTCTACCCCGACCCCGAGGTGCTCCACCTCCTCCCTGACCGGTACATGCTTTGGCCGCGCGAGACAGTAACGACGGCTGGCCTTTTCTTTCTTTCTTTCTTTCTTTCTTTCTTTCTTTCTTTCTTTCTTTCTCTCTCTCTCTCTTTTGTGTTTGGCCTGTTTGGGCGGAGCAGGCGCAGGACTACTTTGAGAGCTACCTGTGGAAGCAGCTGGCGGAGCTCAAGGAGGACGGGTGGCGGAGCGGGGCCATCCTGCAGCCCTACGTCTCCTTCGAGGACCACCTGAGCACCGCTCCTCGCCACACCCTGCCCACTATCGCCCTCCCGCCGTCCTCCGTACGGAGCCCCTCGCCCCCTTTCTGAGCGTGCCTTTCTTGGGCCATGCTCCCTCCGAGTGATTGACCGATTGGTTGGTGGTGGCTGGTGGCTGGTGGCTGGTGGTCGTGGTGGTGGTCCAACACCAGACCGAAAAGGGCTACGGCTCGCTGAGGGGGCGAGTACAGACCTTCCGCCTGTTCGATGCGGCGCGGACGGAGTCTCCCGACATGAAGGCCTTCGATCGCTTCCTCCTTCAGGTAATAACAACACCCACCCACACGCCTGGCCCTTTTGGTTCTTCATAGGAGAGGAGTAACTAACGTCTCAAAAATGCACGCCGGGCGCGCAGGACTACATCGTGGACCTGCTCCACTTCTTCGGATCGGACCACAAGACGTGCACCAAGTTCCTGCTCACCCTCCCCGGCAACTTCAACTACCACAACCTGCTGATCGAGGTACTCCCACCACCAACCTTGGCCTTGCCAAGGCATCACCACTTTGGCCTCGCGGTCGGGGCGAAATCCTGACGTCGATTGCTCAATGTGCGGCCCGACACAACGCAGACGATATTCGGTCAGCTGTTCCTCTTGCCCACGCCGCCCTGCAAGCTCATCTACTACGCCGTCGTCATCGGCGACCTCTGCAAGGGCAGTACCGCCATTCCGCCCGTCGTACGTCGTCCCTCACTCCCCTTCATCGAATTGGTCTCAATTCTCAATTCTCACTTCTCGACTGTTCGGTTCCCGTGCTTTTTTTTGCCAGCTCGGGTTGGCCATCGACACGCTGTTCGAGAGGGCCGACATGATGGACGTGGAGTGTGCCGAGCGCTTCTGCGACTGGTTCTCCCACCACCTCTCCAATTTTGACTTCAAGTGGCACTGGCAGAAGTGGTACGCGCTCTCTCTTTACACCGCGCGCGATATGCCGGTGTGTAGCCCTCGGCCAGCGAGCCAACGCAGCAGTGTTCGTGTGTGTCGTGTGTCGTGTGGCCTTTCATGTTTCAGGGCGTACGTCCTCAAGATGAACGAGGAGGAGCCCAAGCGGCTGGCGGTGCGTGAGATCCTGGAGCGCACCATGTGGCTGGCCTACTACGAGCGCGTGGCCCGCACCCTGCCCGAGGAGTTCATCGAGCTCATGCCCCGCAGACCGGCCCCCTTCCTCAAGTATGCCGATGTCGCCGCCGAGGTACCCCTTCCGGATTGCCCGCCACACCCGCGTACCATTCCTCTCGGAGGCCGCTCACGAGCGCCCATGGTCATGCCGTGTGATCCTGCAGGACCACGAGGCCTACGCGTCGCTGCTGGCCAAGGTGAGGGCCAAGGAGAAGTCCGAGCAGCTGCGCCCGTGGCTAGACTCGCTCACCTCCATCTCCACCGAGAGGCGCCTCGACCTCGCCCTCCACGCCCTCCTCGAGGCCGGCTGCAAGAGTTTCTCCCACCTCCTCAACGTGCTCGAACGGTTCGCTTGCCTACTACCAACACACACTCACGCACGGGGCCTCTATACCAACAACAACAACACAATCACCCAATTATCAATCAACGGAGAGCGGGACACTGCTGACGTGTCGGATTGCTGTTGGCTGTTTTGGCGCGTAACAGGTATCACGCCCTCCTGCGTAGCCTGGCCGGCACCGTGCAGGCGCGCCTGGCGGTGACGACGGCGGTGGGCGAGTTTTGGAAGCACTCGCCACAGCACATCATCATCACCCTCGAGAAGCTGATGACCTACCGCATCGTCGACGCACACTCCATCGTGCAGTGGATCTTCTCCCACCAAGTGCTCCCCTTCTTCACGCAGTGCGTACCCCCCACCACCACCACCCGACCCCCATGTTTGCTATTACTCCCTCCCCTCACATTCCGCACATAACTCATGTGGCCGCGTGCTTCATCATCATCATCACCACCGCCATCACCGTTTAGGGGTTATCTGTGGGACATCCTGCGCAACACGATCGACAAGACCGTCATGCGCACGGAGGTCATGCGCAAGGAGCTCAAGGCCGTGCAGCCCGACCAGCAGCCCGCCCTAGCAGAGGCCTCGGGCGCGTCGACAACAGCGACCGCAGTGGACGACGTCAGGCTGCAGCAGGCTCGCGAGAGCTACCAGACCGCGCTGCGCGACCAGAACGACCTCCTGCTGCTCGTCTTCCAGGTACGACGCCCTCACGTTGTTGTTGTTATTATTGTTGTTGTTGGTGACCAATCCCACCTATGTGGGTGGTCGCTCCCAATGGGCTCCGCGTCTGTTGACACTGCCCCTCGAATCGCGCGCGTGCAGAGCTTCGTGGTGGTGCTGGCCAACCACCTGGCCAACAGCCGGGAGCGAGATGCCGACCCCTACGACGCCTGGTACCGCTCGGCCATGGGCCACTTCAAGGAGGTCGCCCGAAGGGTATGTCATCAGCATCAGCATCATCATCAATGCCAATCAAGGCCGCGCACCCTCACGCCTCCCCTTTTTCCTCTCTCTCCTGTTCGGCGGTGCGCAGTACCATCGGGAGGCCAAGGCTCTGGGCGCACCCCTGGCCGACGCGTTTGCGCAGAGCTCCGACCCGCGCATCACCGACGTCCTCACCCACCTCCACCAGTTCTAGGCCCACGTCGACGGGCCTTGGCTGGTTGGTTGGCCTCGCCTGGATCCCCCCCCTCCGCCTTTGTGCGAACCAGCCAAGGTCGGAGGCAACAGCATTAGTTTTGAAAAGCAGAAAACAAATAACAAAAACAAAAATCTCACTATTTATTTTCAATTTTCTTGGCGCGTTGGAGAAGACCTGATGGCCGCGCGGGCAGCTGCGGTTCGTCCTCACCACCACGGGCGGCGGCGGCAGCCCCGATGGGAGGCGTCCGGCCCTCCCTTGCCGCCTTCCCTCGCCCTCTTCCGGTGCCGCCCAACCTTGCCTTACCCCCCCCCCGCTCTATCGGACCCGGAGCTGACCGTGGCGTGCGAGCTGCGCAGGTGCTGGGGGGAGGAGGCGGCGGCGAGCAGCACGGGCCTGGTGGGCACGGCACACCTGACGCCGGTGACAGCCCTCCATTTCACTCCGACGTCGTCATCGTCGCCGTCGCCGCTCCTGCTGCTGAGCGGGGACGAGGCCGGGGACCTGTGCCTGTGGCACCTCCCGCCCTCCGTGGCCGCCCGCCCGCACCACTCCTCCACCTCCGATGCATCGGAGCGGAGGACTGCTGCCGGCCTCTCGTCGTCGTTGTCGTGGCAGCCGCTGGAGCCTCGCGCCACCGTTTCGGAAGCCCACCGCTCCACCATCAACCAGTATGTAGCTCCCCCAAACTCCGCCACCACCCATTACGCTTGACCCCATCAATGGCCATCGTGTCGTGTGTCGTGTACGCCGTGTGTGCGTGCGTGCGTGTCGTGTCGTGTGTGCGTGTGTGTGCGTGTGTGTGTGCATGCGTGCGTCGTGTGCGTCGTGCGCTTGTGTAATGGTGCCCTGCAGGGTGAGCTGCAGCGCGGGGCAGCCCGGCATGGCCGTCACGTGCTCCGATGACCGGGTGCTGCGCCAGTGGGACCTCACCCGCCTCTCCGCGTCATCGTCGTCGTCGTCGGCCGTGCGGGAGTACTGCGGGCACGGCAGCTTCGTCAACGCGTGCGACCTCGACCCGACCGCCCAGTTCCTGGCCTCCGTACTATTTGCCTTCCCCTTCGACGGGCCCGTCGAGACAGGCAGTGGTGGCCAAGCGGTCGTGCTGATTGGATTCTCCCCCTTCGGTGGTCATGGTTGGTGTCGTGGTGGTGGGATGTACCCGCGTGCGTGCGTGTGCGCACAGGTGAGCTTCGATGGGACCCTGCGGCTGTGGCACCAGGAGGTACGCGAGGCGGTGTTCCAGCTGCGCACGGGCCAGGGCGCCACCTCCGTCCGCTTCCACCCGGACGACTTCCGCTACCTCTTCACCGCGGGCCCCGGTATCTACCATCCACCCCCTCACCCCATTTCCCCCCCGCCCAATCTTCCCCCCCGAAGTCTGGGACAAACGTCGCCCTTGTTTGGCTGGATGGCAGGGGGCGTGCACCTGTGGGACATCCGCAGCCACCACACCTACGTCACCATGCTACACTCGTCCCGGGACTCCAACGGTACGTGTTGTGGCGCCCCACATCGTGCATCGTGCATCGTGCATCCGCGTCCTGCCTCCCTCCTTTGTGCTTATCCCATATCATCGTCATCATCGTCATCATCATCGCTACACGCTGAACGGCGGCCAGACGTGGCCATGGAGTGGGCGCACATGTGGGAAGATAAGCCGCCCCCGCCTGTACCCCAGGCCTTGGCGCCTCCTACGGCGGCATTCGCGGAACCCGACATCCCGCTACTCACCTATGCCGTACGTGTCCCCCTCCCCCCCACAAGCGTGTATGCCCCTCTCCGCGCGCCCCGCCCTGATGGCTTTCATCTTTTGCCCCGCCTGCCGCTCGTCGTGTGTCGTGTGTGTCGTGTGTCGTGTGGTCATGCGTGTCGTGTGGTAGGCCGCGACGCCGGCCGGGGTGAAGCGTGCGTTCGACCGGTTCAGCAAGCGGTGGGTGCTGCCCTTCCGGGGCCACCACCCGCGCTCCTCGGTCTACTCGGCGGCGGTGACGCGGGACGGCCGCCACCTGATCACCTCGGCCACAGACGGCACCCACAAGCTGTGGGACGTGCCCTCCGGCCGCGGCCTGGCCACCATGGACGGACACAGCCCCGCCCACGCCACCCGCCCTGCCCTCGTACGATCCCGCCCTCCTCGTCGTCGGCGTGCGGGCAATCAATTATTATCCGCGCTCACAACCAGTCGATTGGCGGGGTATTGGTGGGCTGCAGTCGAGTGATGACCGGTGGCTGCTGTGTGGCTCGCGCGAGGGGCACCTGCTGGTGTGGCGCGTCTTCGGCCCCAACGAGCCATCTGTCGACCCCGAATGCGACCACGGCGACGAGCAGCAACAGCAGACCGCAGGCGCTCAGGGCGGCAACTGGGAGCGGCGGGTGGAGAAGCGGCACGCCTACCCCATCACCGCCCTCGCCCTTCCCGACGACGGTACGGGTACCTCCATTCTCGATCTTGGGGCCAGCCGGCCAGCCAGCCGCCATGGTTCCCGCCGTCGTCACCGCGGCTCTACGGACTCACGACGTGTGCGATGGTGGGTGTGTGGGTGCGATGCGTGCGTGTGACGCAGACACGATGGTGGCAACGGCAGACGAGAGCGGCACCATCCGGATCACGTCGGCCTACCGATAGCCCGCCGGCCAGCAGACGGCAGCAGCAGCTGCAGAATTCCGGCGTTGCGGGTCTCCCCCAAGGCAGGGCGCCTGACGGATGGACCGATTGCCCCACGCGACAAATAATAATCATCACCATCGAGGGAGGAGGAGGGACTAGCCAGAGGGAGGAGGAGCTCCAGCGTCACGTGGTGGTCGTGGTCGTGGTGGTGGTGGTGGTGGGCAACTGATAGGGAGTAGTTGTAGTTGTAGTGGTGGCGACGGTGGCCAAGAAGCGCGTACAAGAGAGGAACAAGAGTCCCTGGTCCCTCCATTGAGGGCTACCCACGACGGCAGTACCAGGGCGGCGGCGGAGACGGCGTAGTAGTAGTACGGGGCGTGGTCTCCTACACGTAGACGCCGCTCCACAGGAGCAGGAAGAGGGTGCCGAAGCCCAGGAACAGGGAGGCGAACGAGGCGATGAACAGCTCCTTGAACAGGTTCCTCTTCTTGTCGCCCGTTTCGTTCGTTGTGGTCAGCTCGTACCTTCAGCCCCCAACAGAAATGTCAGGAAATTACGCAATTCGAAGAGGCGATTACCAGAGGTTACAAGAAATCAAGAAGATTTGGGGGGGGGGTGCGCGTACACGAAGAACCAAGTGAGGAAGAGCAGGCCCACGCTGGTGAGCACGACGGCGAGCGTCGGGTACGCCGAAGTGCTGACGGGGCTGCCGTACGCAAACAACTGGGCCGAACTCTACGCCAACACCACCCCATTAGCGCAGAGTCTTCATGCACGACGTGACCAAAAACGTACCATTTCGTGGTAAGATGGGCGATGGACGCTGAAGTCGCTGCTCTGTTTTCCTACGCTTTTTTTGGCTTCGGGTGCATTCCTAGCATTCCAGCAATATCGGCCAAGAAATTCGCTGTTTCCTCCTTTTCTTCTTTTCCATCATTCACCCACGCAAGATGGAGGTGGAGCAGACCAGCACGATCGAGCGCCCAACAACCAACATCGACGAGGGGCTCTACAGCCGGCAGCTGTATGTCCTCAACCATGCCGACATGCTCAAGATCACCGCCACCGACGTGCTCATCGTTGGCCTCAAGGGACTTGGCGTTGAGATCGGTGCGTGCCGCCTCAGTCCTCTCCTCCAGCTGCAAACGGGCCTGCCTGCTTTTTGCTTTCCAGCTGCTTCCCCTTCCCCTCACTCACGCCCGGCTCGTGTGTGTCTGCTTCGTGCGTGCGTGCGTGCGTGCGTGCGCCCTTTTGGTGGCTGGCCACGTGCAGCCAAGAACCTGGTGCTGGCCGGCGTACGATCGGTGACCCTCCACGACGACTCCCCCGTCGCCCTCTCCGACCTCTCTGCCCAGGTGCGCGCCCTCCTGCCGCCTTGGCCCTGCTATCGGTGCTCGCTTGCGGACCCCCACCCGCAGAACGTGGGCCACGTTCCCCCCAAAGGCAGCTGGCGTGGCGTGTGTCGTGAGACGGCACGCGCGCGTGTGTGCCGACAACTGTAGCTCACCAAGCCTCTCGTGTGTGCGGTGGGTGTGCGGCGACGACGGTGGGCATGTGCAGTGCTTCCTGCGGGAGAGCGACGTGGGGCGTGCGCGTGCGGAAGCGTGCGTGGACCGGCTGGCCGAGCTCAACAGCTACGTGTCCGTTTCGCTCCTCTCGCGACCCCTCAACGCCCAGACCGTCTCCTCCTTCTCCGTACGTGGGCACCTCGCCCTCCTCCCCTCCCAATGCGCCCCCGACCAGCGCTGACCACACAGGCCGGTCGTGTGTGCGGTGTGTGCGGTGTGGTGTGTTTGCACACAATGCGCAGGTGGTGGTGGTGACGGAGGCCGGGTGGGGCCAGAAGCTCGAGGTGGGCGAGTGGTGCCACGAGCGGGGCGTGGCGTTCGTGGGCGCCGAGGCGCGCGGCGTGTTCGGGAGCGTGTTCTGCGACTTTGGCGAGGCCCACACGGTGCTGGACCCCAACGGGGAGCCGCCCTTCCAGCAGATGATCGCCTCCGTGACCCGCGACAAGCCGGGCGTGGTCACCATCCTCGACGACCGGCGCCTCCAGCTCGAGACCGGCGATTTCGTCAAGTTCACCGAGGTGCGCGGCATGACCCAACTCAACGACGCCCCGCCCCGCCCCATCACCGTGCTCGGTACGTGCCCCGTCCTTTCCTTCGAACGACCGCTGCGCGCCCTTGTTCTCGCTCGCTCGCGGGCAGAGCACCGACTCACTGTGTTGTTGCCTGGTCGCCTGGTGTCGTGGGCGGTGTGGGGCGCGATTCGTGTGGCGACCCTGGGCCAGGCCCCTACACCTTCTCGATCGAGGACACCACGGGCTACGACGAGTACCTCTCCGGCGGATACGTCGTCGAGGTCAAGCCGCCCAAGACCCTGCGCTTCGTACAACGCCACCATTGCCACCACCACCACCACCAC